AACCACCCTGTTAGAAAAAATGAAACTGTCTTAGCTGAAAATGACTCCTACCTTGCCAAAATTTATATTTGTGTCTCCTAGTCTTACTATTCTCACTATGATGCACTGACACTATCAATTCCCTTTACAATCTTAAACACCTCAATCAGATCCACCTAACACTTGAGAGATTTCAGCCTCTCCTCGTATGACAACCTCTCCATCCCAAGCACCATTCTAGTAACCTCTCTGAACCCTTTCCAACAATTCAATGTCTTTCCTAAGTTAAGGAGTCCAAGACTGAACACAATATTCCAAATGTGGCCTAACATGCATTGTTTCACAATGATTCAGCATCATTTATTGTATTTATCTGTATTTAACATTTATTTATGTATTTAACATGTATTTATCTGTATTTAACTGTAATACATGCTTTTACTGCAAATAGTATTAGAGGGCCGGCATGGCCAGGTGGCAAGGGAGACCGACTTGCAATCTGCAGGTTGCGGGTTCGAATCACCATCCCATGAAATGTGCTCGCCCTTTTAGCCATGGGGGCATTATAATGTGACAGTCAATCCCACTATTCATTGGTAAAACAGTAGCCCAAGAGTTGATGGTGGGTGGTGATGACTAGCTGCCTTCCCTCTAGTCTTACACTGCTAAATTAGGGACGGCTAGTGCAGATAGCCCTCATGTAGCTTTGCACGAAATTAAAAAACAAACAAACTTTTTAGATGTGCTTTTAACTAAGTATGGTCTCATGGTTAGCATTCATGGTTGTGGATTAAAAGTAGTTACATAGGATTGAATGATGCTGACTGTTGCCCTCCGTTTGGTCAGCAACTGTAAATTAAACTGCATGAATCCTAGAGTCTCTAATCTGACTGTTTAGCCCAAGTGTTGCATAAAGTGCTATTTACATCAAAAATACAAATACTTGAATTCAGATATGCTTTTGGATGCCACAGTCTAGCTCAGTATATGAATTCCAGTATTGAATGAAAGGCCTCATTGATTGTGATTTGTGACAGACAAAATAAAGGTTCAAAATGCTCTTTGTATACCTCTAATGTGAAATGTGTATTGGATGAATTAAGATTATTTTAAGAAAATTTGTAGTCAAGTGTGGTTTTAGTGAGTTTGGCTAAGAATAGGAGTCTACTTAGTTTAACATCTTAGGCATTTATCACCACTGCAATGCATTTAGGTTGTTTCATTTTTTAAATGCAACTTAATCAGTCAATAATTATCCACTTATGGCATCTTTTGAATTGACAATATGTGCAGAAAATATGAAGTAGTTGTATTTTGAATTTTATGCAAATTTTGTGAAATAAAAATAATTACTGGTATTTTGTTATTTCACAGGGGAAAGTAAATTGGTACAGTAAAGGATTTCAAATATTGATATACATAGCCTTCACAAATGTTACACAAGCATATGACCAAGTGTTTTCTCATATTTGTTTCTGAATACAGTTTTTTTTTCTGTACTTAATATTCAAAATATTTGTTTTTCCAGCAAGAAGAGTCCCACCATATTTTTCCATTCCACCAGAGAACAAGTATGAGGTAATCCCTGGAACAAGTTTAAATCTGACTTGTGTGGCTGTGGGTTCTCCCATGCCATATGTCAAATGGAGGAAAGGATCAATTGATCTTACACCTGAAAATTCTCTTCCTATTGGAAAAAATACGCTGAATTTAGAGAATATCAGGGAGTCAGCAAACTACACCTGTGTGGCTTCATCAAAATTTGGCAATGTAGAGAGAACATCACAAGTTATTGTACAAGGTAGTAAAGATGATAAAAATGTTTGTTGTTTGTTATAAAAGTTCATCTACGCAACAGAAAAATGTGTCATTATACCATGTAATTGTATTACAGGTGGAACTGGAAGAATACTGCCACATTCAAAATGTTACTTATAATGTATCAAGACACGCGGTAGTGTGTCGTGCAGGTCAAAACAACCTGCAGGACACACTACGTGTTACTAACAGTTTAGTGATTGTCCACATCCTGTAGCTCGGACAGTGATAATCCGTACTATAACATGTGTTCAGTGGATGTGCTCTACTGGATCCTTAATAATGGCTGGAGACGGCTTAAATGGGTAATGAAGAAAAACTTTAATATAAGTTTAACATGACAGTAAATGTACAAAGTACAGGTACCTGATGATGACAAAACCTTGTCGAAACATTGTACATTTACTGTCATGTT